AGAATTTTGCGATCAGTTGACGCTAAAATAACCAACACAAGCATAACGTGCACACAGTCACGTTGGACAACAYTGGTCTAGTCATAAGTACTGTTCAATAAGTTCCGTTATTTCGCAGCGCGTGTTTTTTGTATYAGTTTGTTGAAATATTGCATTCTTTAGAGGTGGTCATTCAAATGGCACATTTTTTGAAAGTGAATATTTCTTTGCAAAAAAATATCACACGTGACTTTTTATTACGAATTAATGTATTGTCGTTACATTATATCAGATTTAAAATTTTGACATTCTGAAAAATGCCACCCCCAAATAGTGCCGCCCTAGGCCCGGGCCTCACGACAATGTGGCCCTTGGCAATGACAAAAACTTCATTGCTTGTCTTTACGCGCAGGTAGACAGTTGCTGCGTATGCTTTCTCTGATGCATCGCAGAAACCATGAATAGACACATCGTCCGTTGGCGAAAAGTGGACCCATCGTGGAACTTTAACGTTATTTATGTACCTGTAGTTGTCCATTAATGTGTGCCAACGATCCAATGTGGTAGGAGACACAACCTCGTCCCATTGTGTTCCTTGTAACCAAAAAATATTGGTTTTGTTTTGAAGTGGAAGAAGTCAGTATGTGCATTCCACCTTATTCCAAGAGCCTTGACATCACTTGTGTCTTCGAAATCTAAAAATTCTTTGTTGAGCAAGTGGTCTTTTGGTAGGTCATGTAAAATTATTCCACAATTGGCTGTCCATTTTCTTAATGGGAAACCTGCCGACTCCAATGATAATCTTATTTCATTTCTAGCTTTAATTGCAGCCGCTATAGAGTGTCCACCTGCTAGGACATCATCAACATCCATGCATTTCCTGAGTATGTTTGAGGCTATTGGTAGTGAGCTTTCAACGTCGTCAGATAATTGAGAAAACATTATTATTGCCACATAAGGAGTGCAGTTGATTCCGAACGTTACTCTCTTCAATTCGAAAATTCGAATTTGCTCGGTCGGATAGGTGCAAAAACCGTTCCCCTGGTACTTCGTTTGATCAGATTTCACTAGGATTACATCTTCTCAATATCGCTATTGAAGACATATTTAAATAATCGCCATCGCAGAATTAAGATGGTCAGATCTGCCTGAAGAACTGGACCGGGGAGAAGGATGTCGCTCAGCGAAGTACAGTTTGAACTTGATTGCGATGCATTGAACACCACACGCACTTTTGTAGATGTGCTCTCTTCTTTCTTAACGGCATGGTGAGGCAGGTAATAGTTGTCACTAGAGTCGGCCCTTTGATAGGTGTGTATCTTTACCATATGACCCATCTCAACGTATTCCTTTAAAACCCAGTTGTACTCTTTTTGCAGATTTTCATCTTTGGACAACCGAGTTGCATTGCGATAAAACTGGGTGTACGCAATCTTTAATGAACTACCTAACCTAATGTTGACCGGATAGTCTTTCCTAAATGGTAGCGATACAACGTACTTTCCGTCTTCATTTCGCTTCGTTGTGTTTTTGTTCACGAAAACTTCACAATACCTGTCTTCTTCTCTTAATTTCCTTTCCTTGGGCATCTCTTCCCAGAATGAAGCTAACTGCTTTTCCAGCGATATTTCGTTGCAATATGAGAAGCAAGTGTTGGTTAGCTCAATTCTATTTGCACGCCCCGTGACTATCCAACCGAACACGGTCTCTTGCGCAAGAAGCGATCCCTGTACGTTCTTGCGTATGCCAACAAGCATAATCTGTGGATAGACGTCGCCACCGAGTATGACGTCCACGGYTTCATTGACGAAGAACATTTTGTCCGCCAGCGTGAGATCTGGAAAAGCCTGCCGAGTTAGTGCGCTAATATGGCAAGTCGGCAAGTTTCCTGTTAATTTCGGCGGAACCATCCAATTCGACACAACATGATTCCTTTATCTGCGAAGATACGGTGTTATTGATGCCTGACACTTGGCCATTTATCTTCCTAGCTGGCTAGTTGATTCTGCGCTTTAGCCTTTATGTGATGAAAGAGCACTCTGATTCTTWGTCGATGAGTGCTCTTGCGGCATAAGTAACGCCGCTGTGATTTATGTTTATTCGTGCCGTTCCCAATAAGACACCTTTGTYGCTGTTAGCGAAGCACGACTGTACCTAAGTCGTTGGCTTRCCGTTCGATTTGTTCAAGTTGCGTCTCTGTTGCGCTTGCCTGGACGTAGACGGAATCTCGTCCGATGGCGTTGATGATACTCTTTGGCTGATAGGCTGCACTGTCCTCACATGTAAAAGTGTGTGATGCCTCGCATGGTACGTGCTGCAGTTGAATGCACTGGTGCATTGCGACACCAAATGTCCAAAGCCCAGGCAAATTAATGCAGCGATTGTTGCGCTTAGCGAACTTGATCCTTTCCGCCGGTGCCTTGTTAAGAAACATGGGGCCAGATCTTAGCTTGGGATCTGCGCTTTTGCACATCAGACACGTTGATTTCTCAATGCTTACTTGGAAGGCGCCGAGTCTGTTCTGATGGCTATTGTTGTTTTGCTTAATCTGTGTGGGTGCACTGACAGGCTTTGCGGAATTGGATGATTTCTTGGCACGTTCTATTRCCTCTAAATCACAGTATTTATCAGTGAGGAAGTTATCCAATTCCTCCCACCTTGACGTCTTCGTTTTGTTCTTGACAGACTGTTCCCAAAGGGCCAATGTTGCTTGTGGCAGGCTCTTTGAACAAATGCGGATTATAATTGGGTCCCAGTTCCCAATGTCAATTTTACTGGCTGTCAGACAGGAGATGCAGCTGTTGATCTCCCGTTGTAGCCATTTTATCGAGCTTGAACACTCTTTATCGATTGACAGTAAGTCGAGGAGTATGTCGACTTGGGTTTCGACTAGTATTCGCTTATTTCCATACATGTCCGTCAAATYTTTCCATGCCGTTGTAAAACCTTCATTTGTAAAAGGGCATTTTGACACAATAACCTTAGCCTCCCCTTGAGTCTTTTTGTTGAGGTGGTATAATTCCTCAACCGGTGAAAGACGCCTGATTTTGATGTATACAGCTGTTCACATGACCTAGGAACGTTCTGCAACATACCCCATTGCATCACCTCACGTCACATCACACCACGTCACGTCACCATACACCACTACACACACACGCATCAAACACAGTACTTAAGACCGCTCATTACTACAACACTACACCACAACAACCACACCATTATCAACGAGACGACTCGTAATCAGTAACTATTCACCACCAAAACCTTCAAAAGGGATTGATCCGACCGGGATCGCTCTCTTACCCTTTTTCATGCGTGAAACAAGGCAGTCGTTCGCGATATTCAGTTTTTTTCTTTTTATTATCCGCAACAACCACCGCAATTTCCTTTTTTTATATTAAAACACCAAGTACGGGAGTGACGGGAAGCACCGAGTTCGTCAACAGTGTTCAGCAGTGGGTTTCACAGAAAACCAAAAATATACATATACAGTTTCAATTGTTCAACTAAAATTAATAAATATTTTATAAAGAGTGTGTGATAGAACGATCCGTGTTTTTATTTGGCAGAAGTATCGATATCACGTAAGTATACTAGTGCCAAGCGTAAACAAATGGTCCTTCGAGCCTTTCCGAAAGGCACCTAAGCAACAAAAAAGAAACAAAAAAAACTTAAGTGAACAAAGTTAAAGTGAACAAATTAAAGAACAAAGTTACAGTGAAAAAAGAAACAAACCACAGAATCGCACGGAAAATAGAAAGTGACGTGAATAAGATACCTAAAAGAAATTGAATTATAAAGAAACAGTGAAAAACAAACCCCACTAAAATCAAAACCGGGCGCGAAATAAACTAACTAAAAACCAAAACACCAAAAACAAAACCTACTAAAATCAAAAACGGGCGCGGTATAATTATGTACAAAGTGTAAGAAATATTACAAACATTAAAGTTAAAATAGCAAACGGGCGCGGTGTAATAACATATACABAAAACACAACTACTATACATAGTCACGGGAGATTACACCAACAAACACCAAAGAGGAAGACAGCAAATCATCAGGGACAGGCTGGATGTACATAAGAGACAAAAAAAACTGTATAAGGAACTGAAAGAAACAAAAAAAGGGTATAGGTTCAAAACCCTTAGGTTAAAATAAAGTGAGTCCGTTCCATATATAATTTGATACATAAAAATATATAAATTCAAATTTTTATGCACATATATATGTATGTATGTTAACGTACAGTTTCGACGGTATTTCGGGACACCGTTAACTGTTCTTAACAGTTTGATAAATGTATATAAAAAAATAATAATAACTGCAAAAAAAGTCATCACTGAAAGTACAGTACCCGCCTTTTGCTTAGCTTGTGTCATTAGACACCCCATAATATAATTAAAAAAAAAAAAATTAAAATTAAATAAGTCAAGTATAACATGAGATAATTCTTGCGATACCCCTTGGGCTATTAAAAACAAAAACAAAAGCAACAAGCAGGATCGCTAAAACCCTAAGCAAAAGTGGAAGATATGCAAAGAAATCCAAATATATACATATATAAAAAAAAATACATACATATATATAAGCATATTCTTCTAAAATTGCAAATTCTCCCATTTTAATATATATATGTACATATTTATATACATACAAAATCATATGGTACATACATAACATAATTTAGCTTAAAGCTACTACCTGTTTGGATGTTCAAATCGTGTCTCCAAACACACTACCAAAAACCATAACAAAAACAATTTACCCAGCCAAGTACCCATTGCTTGCATATTTCCAGCGATACCACTTGGGCTATAAAGCAACAAGCTGGATCGCTTAGAACATTCAAGCAAAGGTAGRTAATAAAAAGAAAAAAAGAAATAATAGTAAGAGAAAAAATGCATTACATTTATGTATGTACCAATGTGCCGGTAAACGTATGCATCTCCCGCGCGACATACATATGTACATTTGCACATTACATTTCTTTCCGCACATTTGMACTATTCAACTCATATACATACATAATTACATAAAAATATAAACATATATATATTATTTATTTCGCGCGTTTAGCAAATTGGTATATGTTACATTTTTATAACATATTATATATACATACAGACATATATACATATATGTGACCTGCTTAGGTGTCAAAAAATCAATTTTCACTTTTTAGTTGATTCGGATGGAAGATGAGATGCTTTTTCACGTGATAGATTCCAAAAAGTCATAAGTCATTTCGCACGTTAGCTCCCTTTTCGTAGACCAGGTCACATATATCAATTACATACCTAAAAGGGTACGAGCAATGCTAAGCAAAAGCAAACATATACATAAAGCATATGCATATACAAACATATGGTAGTAATATATAGATCTTGATAGTATGATATGGTAGTAATATATAGATACATACAAACAATTTTTCGTTTGTATTTTTCTTTCGCGTTCTTAATTCGTTTGCAGATAAAAATATACATAATAAGCGCGAGTGAACTGGAGATACATTGATACACGTCAAAAAATTTTCCGTCACATTAAAAAAAAAAAACTTTAATCTTTTTATGGGGTAGCAAATCAAAAACTTTGATCACAAATATATTTTTTGTGAAATATATAATTTTTTACAAAACAAATAAGCAAAAATCTTCTGTTTATAAAATTTTAATTTATACTCTTTCTATTAAAATGTATAAAATCTATTTGACTATATTGCTTTAGCAATATTAAGTTGGAATCAATTATTCATTAGACAAAAGCTTTAAACTCTATTGAAATTAATGCAATCTGACAAATCAAGAGAGGTTAAGCCAAAAACATAAACCACAAGGCACACCGGCTGAAGCTACACGCTCAAAGAAAACCTAGATAAAGGAATGTATATAAAAGTACCAGCATGTGATACTGAAGTTTTTAATGGATGTTATGATCAATRGCCGTCCTTCCGGGACATGTTCACTGCCGTTTATATAAACCATCCAAAACTCTCAAAAGTACAAAAGTTATACAATCCAAGGTACAAAACAAAAGGGGAAGCAGGCAGTATCGTCAAGCGATTCGCTTTAAATGATGAAAATTTTTAGCTGGCTTGGGAAGCACTGGTCGAAAGATACGAAAATGGAAGGGTTATGATAGAAAACCCAATAAAAACATTATTACATCTACCAAAAATTCAAAAAGAAACCAGCCACGAATTTCAATATATATACTCGACAGTGACTAATTGCATATCAGTGTTAAAAACACAAAATATCTCCACAGAATCTTGGGACCCCATCATAGTAACTATTTGTGCAGAAACTGCTCAATACGAGATAGTTGAGCGAATTGACAACAAAAATATAAATCTAAAAAGTCACCAAAATGACTCAAATAAAAACTTGTTCAAACCTCAAGCCAGCAATAATATGCAATACAATAGACGCGTTAATAAAAGTCACACTTTCGTGTCAAACCAAACTAATAAATGGCAACCATTATATGAAATTTKTAAAGGAGGTCATAACATAAGATCTTGAGAGAAATTTAAAAAACTTTCCGTTTYTGACAGAACAATCTTGTTAGACAACATAAACTTTGCATCAACTGTCTGTCCAATTCCCACGGGACAAAAGACCGTGAAAGCAAATTTAACTGTGTGTACTGTCAACGAAGACATCACTCATTGCTTCATACTACAAATTTTCAGAATATGAAGAAAAGTAAATTTCATAAAACCACCGGGTTATTCACTACAACCAAAGTGAAACCCCGAAATCTCAAATCCCTAACAAAGGGAAGAACAACCATGTTGCTCTAAAGCAGC